TTTGACTCATGTTTTAGTATCTTTGAGGTGCTAGGGGTGGTGTTGGGAAAGCTTGTATATGTTAAATTAGCTAATCCTCTCTTTACTCCGTGGATCATAAAGCAGTTGTACTGTTTGGATGGTATCCTCAAAACAGACATTCTCAATCAAACAACAATTCCATGCCTCTTGTTAGGGTGTGTCAACTTAAAAAATGCACAGCATGAGAGTTGTTAAACTCACAACTAAAACTAAACTCGTTTTATTTGGGGCAATATGAGGACTGCAGCCCAGGAGATGGCACCTCAGAGCTCTGAGAAACTATTCCAAAGAGGCAAAAGGCAAAGGTCAGTATATAATGTGATTTTGTTAAAGGGGGGAATACAGACAATCCAGCACATATTTTTTTCAAAAGGTTTCTACTAGTCTCATGAAGCTTCTGCTAGTCATGAGAAACAGTTGTCACCATGAAGGATTTTAGTGCTTTTCTAAATATGAGGAGATATAAGATTTGGGCTCATAAAATGAGCTGCTGAGAATATCTAACTCTCTGAAGATGTCTCCTGCCCGTGTTTGGTTGAGTAGAGAGTGCCTCATTTCTGCTTTCCACCTGAACTCCTTCAGCATCTGCACCCGCACCAGATCATGTGTAGATGATCCACAAGGATCATCTAATCCTTGTGGAGGTAGATGGCAGGCACCCATGGCAGGTACCAATGTTTAGTTGACAGGTGGTTCCTGTAGAGAAAGATGTGTGATCCAGGCTTAGAATAATTAGTGCTTGGCATTCACCCAGCTGAATGATTGGTTCAGAAGTGAGCACATGATGTGAGTCAGTCCAGTCAGAGTCCAGTGTGTGTTAGTCATTCAGTCATGTCCAGCTCTTTGTGACTCCATGGACTATAGCCCTGCCAGGCTCCTCTGTCCATGGGATTCTCCAGGCAAGAATACTGGAGTCGAGAGTCAGAGTCCAATAATTTTTTTCAGTGATTGAGTAAAAAAAAGTTATCTCTTATTCTGGGCAACGTGATGTGCAAGCTGGGAGGCCTGGAACTGCTGCTGACATTTTTCTCCCGAGACAAAATAAACAATAAGAGACTCCAAGAGAAATATATCTGGACCCTTGATCAAACCATACCTGAAGCTTTCCCACTAATATCCTTTTTAGGAGCCATAGGCTAAATCATTTCCTCCAATTGTTTAAGTCATTTTGAATTGGGTTTTCAGTTCTTTGCAAGTAAAGCCATCCTAATACATTATTATTCCTATTGGAGGGATGACAAAATCAAACTCAAGAAAGTTATTCCCCAAGATCACAGCTATTAAGTGGCAGGATTGAGATTTAAAACTCAATCCTTTAGCTCATTCCATTACACAAAGTACCTCAGCCAACTCACCTTTATCCCATCCTAATGGGTAGAATACCTTTACTTCTCTAGGAAAAAACCATACTCATTTTAAGGATTCTGGCTTCTCATTCCTGGAAAGGGACTCCCAGCTTCACAATCTGAATGCTTCTACATCTCCATTTCCAGAACCATCCTATGTCCCAGTCTTCCCAACCACAATTTAAGTCCAATAAGAGCAGAACTCTTTTTTTTTTTTTTCACTCACTTCTTTTTCCTTTACTGGGTCACAACCCTGCCATCATATGGAAATAAGCATGAGACCTTTCCGGTTAGGTGGAGAATGGGGCTTAGACCAGCACAGCAGGTGAGGAAAAGTGCTTTCCTGGTCTCTAAATACCCCATCAGAGCTGGTGTCAGTCCCTGAGGAATGTCTCAGGAGGTGGGCAGTGAGTAAACAAAAGAGAAAGCCCAGACATAAATGAGAAGTCGACTCTTTAGCAAGAAAATGTCCCATTAATCACTGTCAAGACACCCCCACCTCCCACAGGATGGCATCTGAAAGAAAATTAAGTAACCAAATACAAGTTCCTTCCTGTCAGTGGAAGGCAATATTATTAGCAAATTAGCAAACATATCCATCAGTGGTAAAAGAAAATCAATGGGTTTTGGAGTTTTACAAAAAACAGGAAAAAGCCTAGGAGAAGCGATATATCAATTCTAGAGCTTGGTGTTTCTTTCACGGGGATTAAAGCGGCCTCACAGACCCCGCTCTTCTTCCTCTCCCACCCTTTTCGGGGGAGCGGGCCTCACTGCGTTCACTGCCTGCATATCAGCCAAAGAGCCCCTCACCCTGGAGTTGGGGGTGCGTTTTTGGGGGCCATCACTTTAAAGTTGTTCTGGAATATGTGCCTGGTGTGGGAGGGACAGTGTGGAGCTGAAGGTGCCTGGCGATGTCATCTTCCAGCATTTTCCCTGCTGAGCAGTGAGTGGCCGGGCAGCCAAGCAAGAGCCTTCAAATGACTAAAGGAGAAGGAAGAGATGGTCTCATGTCCTGCGTTTAGAAAGGCAGGAGGATGCTTGGACCGTACAGAGAATGGCCCCATGCAGCCCCACGCAGCCCTGAGATATTCCTCAGAAACTGAGACTAGCTGGATGGATATTCAGAGACAAGGTAGCGCTTTTCCTTGCCTGCTATGCTGATCTAAGCCCAGTTCTTCAACTAACCAGAAAGGTCCTTGCTTACTTCCATATGATGAAAGGGTTGATGGCCTAATGTAGCCCCTGACCTCCAGCTGGTGGTCCTGGGAGAGGGGCTCTTGCTTTATTCACGTCTTCTGTTTATTCTTTCTTTTTTTTTTTTTGAGAATCTAAAAAGAAGTGAAGCAAATGAACTTATTTACAAAACAGAAACAGATTCACAGACTCAGAATGAACTTATGGTTGGGGGTGGGGGGCGGGAAGAATGGGGTAAGAGAGAGTCAGGGAGTTTAGGACCTCCTGAGCAGCACAGGGAACTCTGCTCAATGTGATGTGGCCCCTGGATAGGAAGGGAGTTTGGGGGAGAATGGATACATGTGTATGTATGTCTGAGTTCCTTTGCTGTCCACCGGAAACTATCAGCATTGTTAATTGGCTATGTGCCAATACAAAAGAAAGTGGTGTTTGTTTGTTTTTTTTTAAATAATCTGATAATAATTACAGACCCTATTGTTTAAAAAAAAAAAAAACCTGTGTTCTGGAGATTCACACATACTTTGGGGGCTCAGTAACTAACTCCAAAGAACTGCTGTCTTAAGAAAAATCACTCTTCTCTGGAGACAGGCCCACCTGGCACTCTTGATGAAGTGTGGCTAAGGACATGAACCTGGCATTCTGCATCAGGGCAGCCCAGGTTGCTTTGAACTAACAAAGGGGCCTTAAATCATGGAAGGAGCATAGCCTCCTTCCGACATCTGGAATTTTAATGAGGTAGGATCAGGCAGACAGAGCCAGAAAGAGCAATTTAGGGTCCATTGAAAAGCTTTTTTTATATAAGCATCTTGGTTGATTTTTCAAGCATGCAGCCGGCGCTTTAATAAAGATTTCTGTGAATTAGTTTGTCTTGTTGAATAAATGACCATTGCTAAAATGCCTCCACCTCCCCAACCCCCTGCCACTGTGTGGCTTTAGTTATTTATTATTTCGCCTCTTGTAAAGCTCGACTTAAGTTCCAGGTGTGCACATGACTCTCAGAGGCTGGCTGGCTCCCTCCACTTCTTGGGGTGTGGCTGACATAGGTTAGAGGGGCATGTGGAGCTGAGAACTGCCAGCCACTCACTCTCTCCCTCCCCTCCGCATCCACCTGCCTTTCCAGAATCTTGTCTGACACGGGGGACAAGCCGGGAGCAGGCCACTTGCCCTGATGCAGCCCCGATCCACCATGATAGAGGGGAGACGGCAAAGACTCGAACGAGCCTGTCTTTTCCATCTTCAGCACCAGCGCTCACAAGACAAGGCCCTCAAACACCCAGGTCAGTTCTCTTCCACTGCCTGCCCATGTCCCAGGCTCTGAGTGCCGCGGACTGCCTCTGCTGCGGTAGTGCCAGAAACGGGCTCTGCGCAGTTTCCCCATATAGACCCACCTCTCTGCGCAGAACAGGCTCCCTCTTCCCTACAGCCCAGTTGGTTCTATCCTCCCTCCAGGTCTCCTCATCCTTAGGGACTGGGGCGAGGAGAAGGAGAGCTAAGGGCAGTGGGCAGCCCACTGGTACAGCGCCCCCCTCCCCAGGGATTCAGGAGCGGGAGCACCTTCCCCACATCCCCTCCAGGGGGCGCCCATCCCTGGCTCAGCAGCACACCTCGTCTGCACGGTGCACAACTGTGCCAGGGGTGTGAGTCCGGAGAGCTCATCGCCTTGCCTCCGGGGCCGTTGGGTGTTCTGGGGACCTTTCTGTCCCTTCCCAGGTATGGGGTTCCCCACCTCAAGAATTGCACCCATTCCAGCAGTGATGACACGAAGTTTAGATAGACCCAAGACCATAGGAACCTGAAAACAACTCCAGAAGTTGTCTCCCTCAAGGTCTTTATTGAGAGATGAGGAAACAGGCCCAGAGTAGTTAGAAAAGCAAGTGTATTTGCAACATATTTCATAATAACCACTCACCTGATGTTCACGTGCATCCCAACTCTAGGCTCCAAATTGCTGCATCTGGGCCTTTCCATTTAAAAAAATGTCCATCTGCTGAGAGGACTGAAGGTTTAGGTGGAGCAGTGTTAAAAATGATCTCATATAAAGAGAGACCGGCCCAGAGTGAGAGGAGACTTCTGTCTCTCTACCACAGATACAACATGGTGGACAAAAGCAGGTTATAATTGAGAGCATTTTAAGAATAGCCAATTAAGCTAATTCTCGCTTCAGAGACTCTGTCTGCCAGTGGAGTTTATCATATCTTTTGTATGACTAAACTGAAATCAGTGTTCTGGACAGTCACGGCGAATGTAGATATTTTTCAAATAGAAATGATAACTATTAATGTGAATAAGAACTGAATGAGCAGGGAAACTGGTTCATTCCAACAAAGATAAGGTAGGTGACTGTGTCCTTTTGGGAGTCAGTAAAATCCCCAGATGAGTCAAACTAGTTCTAATATACCAGTTAAATGTTGAAAAGAAGTTTTTTTTTATTGACACTGAAGATTTACCTAATAGAACAATCTAATCAAGAACACAAAAGGCTCCCAAGAGCTTTCCTTTATTCCTAAGAGGGTCAGGGTTACCATCACCACCCAGCAGCCAAGTACATTCTCCATGCCTCCACAAAGAGAGTTCATCTTTTTCTTCTCACTTTCTTACCCTCAACTGTGTGTCTGATTCCAAAATTTTCAAATAACTTTTCATTTTGGTCTGCACCAAGAGAAACTGCCAGAAGGGAGAGGGAAGTTGGTTCTCACTGTCCAGCCCCTCAGGACACAGCTCAGGACAGTCGGACTTCACAGGGAGGACCATGGCTTTGGGACACAGAGGGGAAGCCTGCAGTTTCCATCCTCACCACCAGGGGTGGTGAAGGTAGTGAAGAGCTGGGTAGTGAAGAGATGCATGGAGACGGCACCTTTGTCTGGTAGCCATGTGCCCCAAGGATAGTGATGCTCGCTCACCTGACTAGGTTTGCATCTCATCTTGAAAGCCAACCCTAAGGTTTTTATGAACATTGTCTTTTATAAACAAGAGGTGTCAAAAGTCATCTGAAGAATAAAATGGGGGTTGCATGCTTTTGAGGCATCATTAGGAGAGCTGTAGGCTAATGTTGATACCACTCACTGATTTTATCAAGTATCAGCACCTATCTAATACCTGCCCTGTACCAGGCACTGTGTCCAGGTCCATGAGATGGACAGAGTTCCTGTTTTCTGAGAGTTTGTAATCTAGTGGGGAAGACAGCTAAACAAGCCTGTCTTTGCAGCCTATGGCAAAAGCTGAATAAAGGTTAAGTTGCTAAGTCGTATCCAACTCTTGAGACCCCATGGACTGTAGCCTGCCAGGCTCCTCTGTCCATGGGCTTCTCCAGGCAATAATACTGGAGTGGGTTGCCGTTTCCTTCTCCAACATAGGAACACAGAGCAAAGACCTTCTAAGCCTGCTCTGGGTGTGGGAGCTTCTGAAGGGGATGACACTTGTCCCCGGAATGAAAGGATGACGGAGAGCTCAGCAGACAGAGGGGTTGGGGGTGTGGGTACAGCAAGGTGGGGAGGGCACCCCAAGACAAGGACACAGCACAGCTAACCCACAGACACGTGATACTGCACCACAGCAAGCCAGAACATTTTAAAAATACTAAGCCGAGGACTTATAGAGTCCCTCCCCAAAAGGAAAGCCTTCATTTAGAATGCAAAGTGAAAAGTGAGTGGTAATCTTGGAACACTGAAACATATCCATTATGAGGAAATAATGTCATTGCAGAAGTTTTCATGACTGGCCAGGGATACTGAGATAGAGGTGCAGAACCGTGGGCATTTGTTAGACTGTCTTCCAGTGTTGCTGAGAGAGCCGCCATCCCTCTCGTCTGCACTCCATCGAGTGTAATTGGGCATATCAAGCAATCAGGACATGAACAACATTTCACTTTACTCAGCTCTGTCTATCCACAGGGCAGCATTCTGATACTGATTTGGTTTCTCAGATACATTTCCATACTAAAAAGAGAATGTGCTAACCTGTCAATGGGAGCTTTTAAGTACTTCCTCTCGAGAACTCTTTCTCAATGAAAATGAATGATTTGCCATTTTGGTCTTTGGGCAACATCTTGGAAGTTGAGTATGAATGAACCAGGCCACCATGAGCAGATAGACTTGCTGAGTGAGCTGACAAAAACTTCTGCATCTTGTGATGCCACCAGGAAGCAGGTCTCCAGGGGAGCCAGCCCTGACACACTTCCTCACTGCAACACCAAGTTTCCAGTGACCGTGGGATGAATGGATGCTTGGCAGGATGTACATTCCAATGTATTTTCCCTGAGAGGAAGTGCATTTTCTGGAACATTATCAGAGAGGATAATTGAAAAAAAAAATTCTTTATGAATGGGAAAGATAATACCCAACTAACGATGCTTTTTGTGAGCTATTGTTGTTTAGTCACTAAGTCATGTCCAGCTCTTGTGACCCCATGGACTGTAGCCCGTCAGGCTCCTCTGTCTATGAGATTTCCCAGGCAAGAATACTGGAGTGGGTTGCCATTTCCTTCTCTAAGGGATCTTCCCAACCCAGGAATCAGACCCATGACTCCGACATTGCAGGCAGATTCTTTACCACTGAACCACCAGGGAAGCCCATAGTTTTCGTCACTAGCAATAGAGGATGAAGTGACAGCAATCACCTTGGAAATCATTCACCAGATAGTTACAAAGTGCCTGCCATGCACAAGATCGTATAGGGCTACCGAGCAGAGACAGGCACAGCTTTCCTGCCAGGCACTTTCAGTCTAGAAAAAGAAGAAAATGTGTATAATAGAAAGTAGAAACTGATATGCACTGTAGAAGATATCTCTGAAATGCTATTAATAGCTCAGAAGAAGAAATACTACTTATTTTATGTAAACACTTCTGTAACCCTTAGTATGTACCAGGTACTGTTTTAAGCACTGAGTGTGTAATAGCTTATTGAATATGCCTAGTAATGTTTGAGGTAGTTACTACTGTTATCCTCATTTTACAGATGGAGAAACTAGGACACAGTGAGAAATTTTAAGAAAATCCTGTGGCTAGAAAGTGGCTGAGCTGGGATTTGAACTGGAGTGGTGGTTTGGTTCCAAAATCTTTGTTCTCGGCCAGCCCCCTGACATCTTCTAATGGCAGCTGGAGAACCCCAAGGAAGTGTTCATGAAAGTGAAGATATTTATCCAGAGCCTTGAAGAGGGTGGGTGGCTTTGGGCTGTGCAGACATGGAAGGAAGCACATGCCGGGCAAAGTAAACAGTGCTTGGGGAGGCAGGGAGGCTGGCATGCCTGGGACTATTGTTTCCTAGTCAGCCAACAATCATGCTACTGCCTCAGCACAAGTTCAGGTTCAGAAAGAATAACTTGTCAGAATAAAGGGCCTGAGTAAAGGGTCAAGTATGAGGGACAAACAATGGTGGAAAATCTAGCCTTTGAACTTCAGTTTCCACAATTTCCATTCATTCTCTTGGCCTCAATCATTAGTTGAGTAACTGACTCAAAAAACAGGCATGGGTTTGATAGGAGCACACCAACAGTAAGGTACCGTAAGTAGAGCAGTTCAGATCTTATCCTGACATGGCACAGACCCAAAGGCAGGGTTATAGCCATTGCGCTGAAGCCTCAAGGTTTGGTATTTCCTCATCTACAGGGAGGGGTAAACAGACCGCATTTTATTTTCATCTATCCCACAACAGAGGAGAAGGCAATGCTGGGAGAGCTGGGGTAATGTTCTCTTTCTTAAGAAAAATCCAACCCTATTTTAAAGGCAAGATCTCTTCTCTTGCTGCAAGGATGCCTCATGAGGCTTTAAAAGTAACCAAATCATAATGGAAGCACCCTTCACAAGCAATGAAGTTCCTCCCCAAGTGTCGGCGCTGAGTACTGAGTTTAAGAAACTGCATGATATTTCTTTGAACTAATTCCTGATTTCCTTCATCTCCATCTCCTTGGTTAAATTGTGATTAATAACCAGGAAGACTGAAGGGCAGGTCTATGATCACACAAAAGCTGAGTCAGGGCAAGGGGATAAGTGTGCCAAGGTCTTGGCCCTTGTCTTCCGGAATGACGTAGAGAGAGGCTTCTTTTGATGCAGACACCAGCCTCTGGCACATGCCCATAGGCTCTGGTGGAGGCAGCAGTACAGTTAGAGTGGTCATCTGCAAGTAGTTCACATTTGAATAAAATACAGTCCAAAAATAGGATCCTCGAACTCACCCTCCCCATCCCAAGAAGCTGCCTGGGCAAAAGGGAGAGGTTGTAAGGTTCGGCTCCAGGGAGACACCAGTGTAAATACTTGCTACATAAAGCACATGCTAGTTGAAAGGAAGTTACCCAACTTCAATGAATCTCAGTTTGCTTACGTGGAAAATCGAGATTATCACATTATATTTAAGAGGCTATTTGGAAGAGTCAAATACCATGATATAAAGCACTTATCATAGTGCCTGATACATAAAAGATGCTCAGAAAGAGCATCCTCATAAGAGACCCTCAGTTCATCTATATCCTTGTAACAGCATACATTCTGAGTACACACTATTATAACCATTCTTCCTCCATTTCAACAAGAAGGCAACCCTGAAAATCAGGGACTCAACCCTTGTAAAAGAGAAAAGAACTGGCCTGAATAGTGCTAAGAGTAGAATCAACATCAGAGCTGGTTGGAGGCCATGACAGGAAACACAGACAAGAGAAAGGCGTTAATTTTAAAGGGTGTCATGAAGTCAGGAGAGACAAGTATTCAGGCCTCCTAAAGTCCACTGTCTGCTGAAGCAGCCATTCATGCCTCTGGCTGACGTCACTAACAAGATCCTCCCACGAGGACCTGGAGCATCAGCACCAGCCAAGGGGAAGGATGGGTTGCCTGATTCAAAAGGAGAGGAACTGGCTACTGACAACATAGCTCCTGAGAAATATACAAAATATAAGAAATACATGAGGTTCCAGGGTTCCCAGGCAACTGTATCATATCAATATCTCCAAGGATTTGCTTGCCCCATGCCCAACACAATTGTTACAGCCTCGCCTAGGTCTCAGGTGTGCCCTCAGAAGATGAGGCATGAGTGTGGAGGCTGCTATGTGGCAGAACCTCTCTAACGGTCATACTACCCCCAGGCTTTTCCATTAGACAGAGAAGTAGTGCTCTAGGATGAGAATTACCACAGGGTTGGACCTCCTTTTCAGTCAGAGGCAGCGCCCTGTGAGGAGAAAGTCAATGGCCAGCTGACTTTTTCCAGACAAAGGGACAGAGCTGGATGGGGAGAAATGCTGGCTGTCAGGCCCTCCAGCTCAGACTAGGATCAGCCCTCTATGAGGAAACATTCCGGAGGGAAAGCCCATCTTTTCACACAGAGACAGCGCTCAATGAAGATAAACTCTGAATGGCCAGCCTTTTTCAGACAGAGAGAAAACTCTCTGAGGAGAAATGCTGGATGTCTGGCTTGCTTTGTCAGACAGGAAGAAAGGGACTCGCTTTACAAGGAGAGATGCCTGTGGGTCAAACCTCCCCCTCCAACACAGAGACAGGGCCCTGGAGAGAGAAATACAGCATGGTCGGTGAGGAGAAACTCTGGATGGCCGGCTCTCTCTGTTAAACTGGCAGATAGCTCTCTGTAAGGGGGGATGGCCGACGTTCAGCCTACTCCTTAGACAGAGAGACAGCCTCTAGGGGGAGCAATGCCCGATGGCCAGCCCTCCATCTCGTAGAAATAGAGCCCTCAGAGGAAAAAGGCAGGAGGTGGGAGCCCGCCATCCACTCAGAGACCGCGCTCTAGACTCTGGGAGGAGAGATGCTGGTGAGCCAGCCCTCCACTTCAGACAGAGACGCGCCCTCTGAGGAGCCATTCCCAGCTCACTTTCTGGACAGAGAGATAAAACTTTCTGATGAGAAGTGCCTGATGGGTGACCTTCTCCAACTCAGAGAGACAGCACTCTGATGAGAAAGAGAGACAGCTCTTTATGAGGAGAAATTCTGAATGTCAGCCTCTTTTTCAGTCATAGAAAGGGCTCTGAGAAAAAAAGGCAGATGTCCAGCTCTCTTTTTCAGACAGGCAGATAATTCTCCATAATGTGAAATGCCAGAGAAGATGCTGCAATGGAGATACAGCGCTGGAAGAGGAGAAATGTTTTCTGGTCGGCATGCTTTCTCAGATAGCCCTCCACGAGGAGAAATGCCTGATGACAGACAAGCAGACAGATAAATAGCACCTCAGACAGAGAGTGCTTTGAGGAGAAAGGCTGGGTGGTACGGTCTTCATCTCAGAAAGAGACATAGTGCTCTGTGAGGAGAAATGCCAGATGGCCTGTGCTCCATCTGAGAGAGAGAGCACTCCCTGAGGAGATATGCCAGATGCCCAGGCCTCCCTTGGCCTGCACGGTGACAGAGCTCCATGAGGAGAAATGCTTGGAGGGGTGACCCTCCTTTTTTGACTGAGAAAAGAGAAGAGACAGTGCCAGAAGAGAAGAAATGCTTGCTGGTTGGCATGCTTTCTCAAACAGAAAGACAGCCTTCCACAAGGAGAGATGTCCAACAACAAACAACACCTCAGACTGAAAGATGGACCTCTAGAGGTATGTGACCAAGACATGTTCCATCAGCCCTCACTTTTGGATGAAGAGACTGTGCTCTCTGAGGAGACATGCCTGGTGTCAGACTCTCTAAAAGAATAGGAAACAATCAGATGTACTCTATGACAAAGATTATATATATAGTTAAACAGGGTTTCCCAGGTGGTGCTAGTGGTAAAGACTCCGCCTGCCAATGCAGGTTAGGTATAAAAGACACCAGTTGGATCCCTGGGTCGGGAAGATCCCCTGGAGGAGGGAATGGCAACCCACTCCAGTATTCTTGCCTGGAAAATCCCATGGACAGAGGAGCCTGGGAGGCTATAGTCCATAGGGTCACAAAGAGTCAGACACAACTGAAGCGACTTCACACAGCACATTGTTAAACAAAAGAAGCAAGTGGCAGGAAAAGAGACACAGAGTAGTCCCATTTTGTTTAGATTATACACACAAAGTGTCTGTCTATATGTGTTTGTATGTTTTTACAAGTCTAGAAAGATACACACAAAACTAGTGACAGTGTTTATCTCTGGGAAGGAAGGTAGCATTTGGTGGGGTGAGAGGAGAGAATGAAAGGCAACTTCTGTCATAAATAGATAACATTGTTCAAATTTTCTATATCTGCTGATTTTTTGTCCATTTGTTCTATCAATTATTGACAGGAATATTGAAAAAAGATTTTTCTTTTGATAGTTGTGGATTTGTCTACTCTTCCTTTCAACTCTATCACATTTTGCCTCATGTATTTTGAGGCTTCACTGTTTGGCACCTTCAACAAGAAGATACAAAATCCTTAGTAGGAATGTACTTAACAAAAGAGCTTCAATATACATACCTTCTTAGTGAATTGACCTCTTTACATTACATTAAGTAATGTCCCTGTTTATCTCTAGCAATATTCTTCATTTTGAAATCTACCTTGTGATAATTAATATAACTGCTGCAGCTTTCTTTTGATTAGTGTGATGGTGTATCTTATTCAGAAAGGCTGGGAAAGCACTTGTCACTGGTGTCAGAAATGGAGATTGCTACAAGGACTCAAATGCAAAACTTACTGGTTTCACAGTGTTGTCTGAGACTTCCGCATGCCTTCCAGGACCCCTTATCAAACTTTACTGAAGGAAGTTTACACCTCTGAGGATCTGCTGGGTAACTTGAGGAAAGGGCCCATGGCGGTCTTTGGTGCCAGAAAATCCTGGCCACTTCTTCAGAGGTGTGAGCCTTGAGGTCATAGCACTACAGTGGAAATCACAAAATCTGATTCAAAAGAAAGGCATAAAGGAATTCAGTTATGCACATAAAATCCCCAGTCCAGCCTTGTCCTTCTCTATTGCATTAAGGAGACGGGAGTGAAGGGTTTACCTGATCCTTATGTGGATGTGGAGATTCTTGGGTAAATCAAGGCATCAAGGCTCTGTGCAGTTGTCTGTTTTCCCCCTTTGCAATTCCTAGGACTGTGAACCTCAGTAATTAGCATGGGGTCAGCCTGGAGTGATTTCTGTAATGATAAAGGAGTATTAGAAATGTCTATTGTTAGAGCTTCCCTGGATAAGAATCCACCTGCCAATGCAGGAGACACGGGTTCAATGCTTGATCGGGGAAGATCTCACATACCCAAAGCAGCTAGGGTCATGCACCACAGCTGTGCATGAGCCTGTGCTCTAGAGACCAGGAACCACAACTACTGAAGCATGTGCGCCCTAGAGCTGGTGTTCCGCAACAAGGGAAGCCACTGCAGTGGGAAGCCCATGTGCCACAACTACAGAGTAGACCAGAGAAGCTGGTCACAATTAAAGAAACGCCTGTGTCGCAACAAAGACTCAGCACAGAAATTAACTGATTGATTAGCTATACAAAAATATATAGCATTAACATACAAAGAGTTACACATTCATTTGAAAATAGACTTCAGAGTGGTTTTTAATAGCAAAATATGATTTTTGAGAGATTTAGTTTCATAAACTATCTTAAAATATAGGTTTTAAATAGTATTCATTTAAAATTTCAAATGGATATTTCATTCAGAATATGCTTCTTAAGTATTTCCTTTAAATTAAACAAAAATTATAATCTTAAAAAAAAAAAGAAATGCCTATTATTTTTGCCACTTCCATTGCCACCTCACATGAACAGACTATGATAAAGACATTATGCGGGACTTCCTACTTCTTGGCCTTCAAATGCAGCAGGTGCGAGTTCAATCCCTGGTCAGGGAGGTAAAAACATACATGCCTCAGGACCAAAAACCCAAAATGTAAAACAGAAGCAATGTTGTCACAAATATGATAAAGACAAAATGGTTCACATTAAAAAAAAAAATCTAAAAAAAAAAAAACCCAACCCAACATTATGGACTGGGTGGGAAAAGTCTTAAATCCCACCTTCATAGTTCTTTCTTAACCTCCCATGCTACCCAGAAGCACAGGGCAGAACTTCTCCCTGCTATAATGACACCAGACGTAAATGACTAAATGGAGAGAGAACACACCTGGGGTTAGGCAGTTTCTGCCTCTGACCCGTCCTGGTCTTGTTGATGATCACAGCACCGAAGTGTACTCATAAAGAGCTGTCACCGCAGCTGCCCTCCGTGTGATGCCATCAGTCTCTAGCAAAAGATCATGAACACCATCCCCATCTTCTCTCCTCGTGACTTTTATGAGGGATGGTATCATTAGCACAAAGACTGATTTTTCTCAAAGAGGAGACTCACCGGGTGTGCTGGATGAAATTGTAGATACAGCTTGTCTGATTGGGGGTCTACATACGAATAATAGAAGGCTAGCCCCACTCAGGGGAACTGTGCCTTGGTGACCTGCCTGTGCTGTGACTGGTCCAGCGAGAAAGGGCCAGGGCGGGGTCAGAAGGATGCCTCCGTGCAGAGGAGGGACACTTCATAGTGACGGCCAGAGGGCGAGACCTCGGTTGACATAGTGACTGGGGTACAGAGGAACAGAGGTGATGAGGTCACAAAAGAGAACCACAAACCAGTGAAAACAACAAAGAAGAAGCAGATGTACAGACATGGACAGCAAGCTGGTGGTTATCAGTGGGGAGAAGGAGAGAGGGGGGATAACACAGGGCGTGTGGAAGGTGCAAGAGAGAGAGGCGCAAGGATGTATCATACAACCTGGGGAAGAGCGTCAACAACTTCAGAATTGTAAATGGAAAGTAACCTTTAAAAATTAAAATTAAAAATATGTGATAGCTACTAAATTCTAGCACTATATTAAGAACAAAGTATTGTTTGTATGCAGCTTCAAAAACCAGGCTCTGAGCCATCCTCAAACCCTGGCTCCAGCCAGACGTTCAACCGAGCATGTCTTTCACTCCCATGGGGCTGGGCTGACCACCTGCTTACACTCTTTCCAGGAAAAGAGAGTTTAAGCCTGTAAAAGTGTGTGCTGGTCACTCAGTTGTGTCCAACTGTTTGAGACCCCATGGACTGTAGCCCACCAGGCTCCTCTGTCCATGGGATTCTCCAGGCGAGAATACTGGAGTGGGTTACCATGTCCTTCTCCAGAGGATCTTCCCCACCCAGGGATCGAACCCCAGGTCTCCTGTGTTGCAGGCGGATTCTTTACTATCTGAGCCGCCGGGGAAGCCCTTAAGCCTGTAAGCGCCACATATAAATGCTCCGCTTTATAACTTGCCTGTGAGATGAGTTTGCAATAAAGTCCCTGTTGTGTTATTCCCTAAGTTCAACAATAGGGGGCCTGAATATGAAGAGAGACAAACCCTCAAAATTTTCTTTCACACCGGAAACCGTCCACACGGGACAGTGACACACACCACTCCCCCCTCCCCATCAACCAAAATGTCATGTGAAGTTGGGCCACCTCCTTCTGACTTGGTTTCTTCAGAAGTTGAGCCCCAAAGTGAGAATCTGTCTGATGACAAAACTGGACGTAAGGAAAGGCAAAGACCACAAATCTCAGCGTTCTGTGTGTTTCCAGAGAACCCAGGGCCCCTCACTGGCTGGTCTCTCACCTCTGTTCCCTGGACAGAGAGCATCTCCTCCCAGGTACCAAGGAGTGACTGTTGGACACATGGAGGAAATTGGACATTTTCAAGCACGTAGGAGGTAGTCTGGTGGCTCAGCTGGTAAAGAATCCACCTGCAATGCAGGACACCTGGGTTGGGAAGACCCCCTGGAGAAGGAAATGGCAACCCACTCCAGTATGCTTGCCTGGAAAATTCCATGGACGGAGGAGCCTGGTTACAGTCCATGGGGTCGCAAAGAGTTGGACACGACTGAGCGACTTCATTTTCTATCGAAAAATGACTTTTGCCTTTTACATACAGCAGCCACCTCTAGGCCTGGAGTGGGAACTGTCCTGAGAGTGGATTGAAACGAAGAGGCTGAAATGGAAAGAAAAACTCAGGCCTTCTAAAATGAAAAATGGAACACAGAATAATGTAACTCTCCTCCACAAGCAAATGGTTTTCTCCTGCACTGTGGCCCAAAGGCCTGTCCTGCATTTGCCCGCTTCTCTGGGGGGCAGGTCCAGTAACAGCCCCTGTGAGCCCTTCAGAACAGCTAGAGCCAGTGCAGCCTGGATAGGCGTGGAGACACCCATCCAGGCTGATCACACCCTCTGGGCTGGGATTCTGGAATTGCTAACAGGAGAAGTTAGCGTTGTAGACAACCAGGAGGCCAGAGAAAGAGGCCAGCTAACCAGGGAAGCCCTTAAGCCTGTAAGCGCCACATATAAATGCTCCGCTTTATAACTTGCCTGTGAGATGAGTTTGCAATAAAGTCCCTGTTGTGTTATTCCCTAAGTTCAACAATAGGGGGCCTGAATATGAAGAGAGACAAACCCTCAAAATTTTCTTTCACACCGGAAACCGTCCACACGGGACAGTGACACACACCACTCCCCCCTCCCCATCAACCAAAATGTCATGTGAAGTTGGGCCACCTCCTTCTGACTTGGTTTCTTCAGAAGTTGAGCCCCAAAGTGAGAATCTGTCTGATGACAAAACTGGACGTAAGGAAAGGCAAAGACCACAAATCTCAGCGTTCTGTGTGTTTCCAGAGAACCCAGGGCCCCTCACTGGCTGGTCTCTCACCTCTGTTCCCTGGACAGAGAGCATCTCCTCCCAGGTACCAAGGAGTGACTGTTGGACACATGGAGGAAATTGGACATTTTCAAGCACGTAGGAGGTGGTCTGGTGGCTCAGCTGGTAAAGAATCCACCTGCAATGCAGGACACCTGGGTTGGGAAGACCCCCTGGAGAAGGAAATGGCAACCCACTCCAGTATGCTTGCCTGGAAAATTCCATGGACGGAGGAGCCTGGTTACAGTCCATGGGGTCGCAAAGAGTTGGACACGACTGAGCGACTTCATTTTCTATCGAAAAATGACTTTTGCCTTTTACATACAGCAGCCACCTCTAGGCCTGGAGTGGGAACTGTCCTGAGAGTGGATTGAAACGAAGAGGCTGAAATGGAAAGAAAAACTCAGGCCTTCTAAAATGAAAAATGGAACACAGAATAATGTAACTCTCCTCCACAAGCAAATGGTTTTCTCCTGCACTGTGGCCCAAAGGCCTGTCCTGCATTTGCCCGCTTCTCTGGGGGGCAGGTCCAGTAACAGCCCCTGTGAGCCCTTCAGAACAGCTAGAGCCAGTGCAGCCTGGATAGGCGTGGAGACACCCATCCAGGCTGATCACACCCTCTGGGCTGGGATTCTGGAATTGCTAACAGGAGAAGTTAGCGTTGTAGACAACCAGGAGGCCAGAGAAAGAGGCCAGCTAACCAGCAGGAGAGAGGAGGAGAATGACCAGAAGACATGAAACTCAGGTGCAGCACCAAGGGTTTTCTAGTCCCTGGACCCAGGTCTTCTCGTGACATGCATTCTGTAAATCACCCCTGGACCCTTATAACGCCCCATTTTAGGTAATATACTTAAAAAAATAACAAAAAATAACCCTTGTTCAGTATTAAAGGAAATTTGACTTGGGCTTCCATTGATTGCCACTAAAAGGATCTAAACTAAGATAGAGGGCTTCCCCGGTGGTCCAATGGTTAAGAACCCGCCTTGCAATGCAGGGGGCAGTGGTTTGATCCCTTGTTGGTGAGGATCCCACATGTTGCGGGGCAACTAAGCCTGTGTGCCACAACTACTGAGTCCCAGCTCTGCAACAAGAGAAGCCACTGCACTGAGAAGGCCAAGAACCATACCAGAGGGCAGCCCCTGCTCGTTGCAAGTAGAATAAGTCCATGCGCAGCAACAAAGAGCCGGTGCAGCCAAAAATAAATTAATTTTTGAAGATCTAAAAACAATCAATAAAAGAGTGAATAGAAAAAACAGAAGAGAAAGTTCTTTTTCATCTGGACTTTATCTCACCCATGGGTGTCTGACTACCTCCCCCCACCACTTCCACATTTTGATGATGGGGGTTTCTCACATGTGAGTCACCTCTGATTCTGTGTGACCTTTTGAAGGCTGCCTGGCCTCTTCGTGCCTGAACTGCTCATCTGTAAGATTGCAGATGGTTCAGCCACCACCCAGCGCTGGTGGGAACCCTTGCTGAGACCTCAGGATCCTTGAAACCCAGTTTGCACAGGCAGGATTGTTGCACGAATGAACCCAGTGCTTATTAAATTAGCCGCAGACTGTTCTTTCAGCCCCGCATGTTTGGGACTCTCTGTAATTCGGTTCCTTTCTCAGCACCCTGGCCCAACTCAACAAAAGCGTCCTTGTAGGAGGGAAGGCTCGTGATCGGAGGAGTAGGTGGAAGGTCCTGCACTCTTTGGTGGCAAGGAGCCCATTTCCAGGAGAGCTGGAGTTGAAAGAGAAGGGGATTTGGGGTCAGGAACCCTGGATTTCAGAGCTGGCTCCAGAATTTGCTGGAAGTCTGGCCTTGAGTGAGCCTGTCAAATTTGCTGAGTTTTACTTTCCAGATCTGTAAATTCAGGGTAGAAATGATCTCCCCTGTTGTGGCATTGTTGAGAGGATTCAAGGGAACAATATTTGAAAGTGCTTTGTACGCCACAAATCCCTTCCCAGACCGTGTTGTTATTAAGTGTCATGATAGCAATTTTTTTTCACACGGTGTTCAGATGCTGCAAAATAGATATAATATCTTATTTTTCATAACTGACCTAGATGTCCCCAGCAGTGCCACCTCTCTGGGGAACAACAGTCCCAGCAAGGACATGGATTACAGCTTGTCAGACACCAAATGCTTTCTACATGCCCTTTATCTAATTCTCCCAGCAACCCTATGAAGTAGGTGCCAATGCCCACTGCACTTGAAAGAAAGGAGAGACTCAGATCGGCTTGTTAACAATATCTGAGTCTTCTCTTATTTCAATGGTCTCTTTTCCGTTTAAAGCAGCCCTTTTCAAGGAAATGCTAAAGTTCTACCCCACTCCATACTCCTCCCCAAGACGACCTCTGAGCAGCGAGAGTTCAAGGAGTCCCTGTGTTTGCAGAGGTGGTCGCTGAAGCCCACTGCGCCCTTGTACCTCGGTCCTTGTGCGGCATAGCGCCCCCTGTCTGCCTGGTGCTGCCAGTGCTGTGGCCCCTCTCGGTCAGCCAAGCCCGGTATCTCCGCTGCCGACTCAGCCCTCTCCGGCTCTCACTGGAGCTGAGTGTCCCCCTGACCCTGGCTGAGGACACTGTGGCGCTTCCAGCCTACAGGGTCCTTCTGGAAACCTCTACTGTGGCAACACCCCACACAAGATCACCATCGAGCCCTCTCCACTTGGCCGAGTCCCCCTTGCGGGGATCATGGAAATTCTTGGATGCCTTCCAAACCACATGGGGGAGCTCTGCCCGGAGGCTACGTCCCATCCATTTGACTCTGATGTAGTCACTCCCCAAATATTTATTGAGCATCTACTATGTTCGGGGCAGTGTTCTAGATTAGGGGGATCAGTGAACAAAAACAAAGATCCCTGCCTTAGCGGAGCCTACATTCCAGCAAC